GGGGGTTTTTTTTTTTTTTTTTTTTTTTTTTTTTTTAAGTGATACAAGTAGTCCTTGCTTTAGAAAAGTCAGAAAATAGGTGAAAGCAAAAGAGTTGTCTTGAAGTCCCCCTACCCAGGGCCACAGCTCTGCAACTAGGAAGGAGAGGACCTCTCATCATGCCCTGCAGGCGGCCCTGCCGGGGGTCTGAGGATTCTGGGAGGGTCCCCTCATCTGTGCAAACTCAGCAGCCCACAGGGCCCGGTTCCATCTCCTGCAGGGAGGTGGGGCTGTGCGAGCTCAGTTGCCTGTCAGTGGCGCCCACAGCACAGAGAAGCTTGGGGATTGTGAGATGGAGCTGAATTACATCCCAGGTCCTGGGCCCCAGGTCCCAGGAGGCTGGGACTGCTCTTCTCCCCTGATTTCTCTTTTGCTGGAACCAGGCATCTCCTACAGTGCCCTTCCCATGTACCTGGGAGAGCTGGCTCCCAAGAACCTCAGGGGCACTCTGGGAACAATGACCGAGGTTTTTGTCATCGTGGGAGTCTTCCTGGCGCAGATCTTCAGCCTGCAGGGCATCCTGGGCAATCCTACAGGTACCCGGGGCACGCCAAGGTCAAAGGGGAAGAGGGTCCTGGGGGTCATGTGGGGCCGTGTGGGCGCCGAGGGCGCTGGGTCCGGTCGTTCGCTCAGCTGTGCGCACATCACTGGCGGATCAAGTCCGCTGAGGCCGAGGGGTGACCTTTGGGCTGTGCAGTGTGCAGCTTGGTGGACACGGGTGACCTTGATGAGGACAGTTTTGGTGAGTGATGGGGACAAATTGTGCTTGGGAATGGGAGGAGAGGCATATGCACCCTTGGGAGTTGTGCCGGGAAGGGAAGAAGTTGGCCGGTAGCTGGAAGGGGAAGGGGCTGGAGAGGATTTTGTCAGCTGAGAAAAATGCCAACATATTGGCTGCTAAGGTGGGTCCAGCGGCACGTGAAGGGGTGTGGGACGGGCTTGTGCAAGGCTGGCCGTGGTCACCGTTTTGTGGTGGTCGTGGCCCGTGCAGATGGTTTCTGCTGGTTCCTTCCATCTCCTCAGTGACGCAGGAGGCAAGGTCATTGCCTGAGAGTGGGGTGGGGGAAGTTAGGGGAGAGGGAGAGGGTGGGACAGCCATCTGGGGGTGCCAGTGCAGTGGGGTTTGGTTTGGGTTTTTCATTTTACACGTTTCCAAATTCCACACATTCCTTCGTGGGCGGATCCAGGTGTTTGCATTCCCCACAGGCCCTTGAAGGGGCTGGGAACCCAGTAGGTGCTCAGTGAAAGATCCTTGGTGTCAACGATTCCCAGGCTGCCCGGTGCAACCGAGCCGTAAACACCTGTCACGGAAGGGGCCCCGGGTGGAGGCCACGCCGGGGGGTGTGGGGCCTCGTTCAGCCCTCACCAACCTTGTGCAGAACTATCATCATCATCATCCCATAATCTTTTCTTTGCTGGCAAGAAAACGGAGGCTTAGAGGGGTTCATTAACTCGCCAGTTCCCACCATGGCTGCCGGGGGTTAGTTGAATCTCAGTACCGCCTGCTGAATGCAAACCTTCAGAAGGAGCTCCCATGCCCCCCCCCCATGCTGGGCCCATCCCCCACGCAGGCCCCCTCTCTTGGGATGTAAACTTATGTCATTTCCAGCCAATAAAATTAGAAACAAGATGTGGCTTCGTTTTCTCCAGGGCTCACACTTTTAAGTCAAATACTGTTCCTAAGAAAAGCAATGCTTTTCCTGCAAAAGGCATTAATAACATATCTTTTTAAAATCATAGTTATTTTCTCCATTGTTAAATGCAGACCCCCTGTGTGGGTGGGTCCTGGGCAGCCACATCGTGACAGGAACTAGGTCCCTGCTGTCTTTGGCTCTCACCAAGGGCTAGACCATCGTGGGCGAGTGGCCTTGTAAGAGGAGAGAGTCAGGACATGGGAAAGGTCAGGTGGAGGGAGCCCAGAGCCCCCAGGGACCCTGGCGGGTCAGTGTCAAGTTCTCGGTGTTGGTCCCTTGCAGGCTGGCCCGTGCTCTTGGCACTCACGGGGGTCCCCGCACTGCTGCAGCTCCTGTCTCTCCCCTTCTTCCCCGAGAGCCCGCGGTACACCCTGATCCAGAAAGGAGATGAGGTCACAGCTCGACAAGGTACTGGGGTGCAGGCTGCTTTGCCGCCTCCCACGCCTGCCAGAACGTCCCTCCATAGCGCCCAAAGCACAGGACAGGCGGGTGGCCAGATGGAGTGAGGGGCTCCAAGAGGCAGGTGCTGATGGGATGGGATGGGGGCGCGGCCGGTGCTGGGGGGTCCAGGCAGCTCGGGGGGGTGGTCCAGTGCAGAGCATGGACCCGGTCACAGGCACAGCTGACCCGTGCTGAAAGCTGAGAGCTGGGCCAGGGTGGAGCGCGGTTGGGCTTGGGGACACCATCACATTGTTGGGGTCCTAGCTGGGGTCATGAGCGCTCTGCAGTGGGAAACCGGTGGGCCTGTGGCCAGAGGCGGGCCTCGGGTTAGGTGCTGCCGGTGACAGATGGGGCCGCTCTGCTCCCCGCAGCGCTGAGGACACTGAGGGGCTGGGCTGATGTACAGGATGAAATAGAAGAGATGCGCTTGGAGGACCAGGCCGAGAGGGCCGAGGGCCGCCTGTCCGTGCTCAACCTGTTCACCTTCCGGCCCCTGCGGTGGCAGCTCATCTCAATCATCGTGCTCATGGCCGGCCAGCAGCTTTCCGGGGTCAACGCGGTACATGGGCCACGTGGGGCGGCCTGTGTGCCCCGCAGCCGCGGGAGGCTGGCGAAGACGGGGCTCCGGCCCTGCAGTTGGGCTGTGGAGGGGTCCGGGCCAGCCTCTCTCTCAGAACTGCTGGGCCACTCGAAAGCCACTCGATTCTATTAGACCCGGCAAACGTTCACTGAACCACCACGAACAGTGTTCGTGTCGGTGCTGCGGCTGCACATTAGTGCAGAGTTCAAGGGCAGGGTTCAGCTGGGCAGAGCTGAGCTCCGCATCCAGGGGAGGTGAGAGTGAGGAGCTAGTGGAGCAGGTGGCTCCTCAGGAGCTGGGATAAGCCAGAGGCCTAAACACAGGGCTGCCGGGCAGTCGCACCCTATCACGCGGGACATTTTTGTTTGCTAGGAACGAGGCGCCCCTGGAAAAAGCCGAAGCGAAACCAGACTTAGTTTATAGAAGCAGCTCAGGATGCAGCTGGGCGCCTGAAAGCAGAGACCCAATGTCCCCAAGGGACCTGGGAGGCTCTCTCCGCCTTCCCACTCTGCGTCTCCCATGTGCCCGCCTCTTTCCTCCTGCTCCAGTCCCCAGGGGGAAATGTCTCCTGCCAGTAGCCCTTTCCCCAATGAGCAGGCTGCAATGAGCTGGAGATCTCCTGGAACCAGCTTCGGGTTCCCAGGGGAGGGTGGTTGGTGGGCACAGCCTGGGTTAGGGGCCACCTTGGACTCACTCAGCTGCAGCTGCTGGTGGCATTGCTGTGAGTGAACCTGGCTCTCTGTCTGTAACTGGATCTATCAATGGTGTGGAAGGAAGAGTGGAGATATCACAAAATGGAGCAGGGGGGAGGGGGTGGTGCTTCCAGAAACATCAGTGGTTGGATGGGTAATGCAGCTACTCAAAGGGAGTGTCAGAGAGAGGCAGCTTCAGGGCCTCAGGGATGTCTAACAAGTGATGTTGGGAGTGGGGTACAGCCCTGGTAGGAGCCACCCAATGGGCAACAGCACATGTGGCTGTTGGAAGGGCTGAGTGAACCCACATCCTTGGGGCTGGGCCTGGAGAGGAGCTGAGCTTGGCCCGGAACAAAAGGTGAGGGGTCACTCCTTGGGGCCTGAGATCATAGACTAGCAACGCAGCAGAGGGGGAAGTCTTAGGGTCCAGATCCCATTTTATAGACGAAGAAGCCAAGGCTCAGAGTCAAGAAGAGCTGTGATCACCTGGGAGTCCAGGCAGAGCCAGGCTGCATCCCAGTCTCCTGACTCCAAGTCACAGCTCTTTTTCCCCATCACCAGCTGCCTCCTTCCTGTCCAAGGGTCCCCTGGGCTTTGCAGACTGTTTGTTGTAGAGTCAGGAAAGTTAAACCAGAGGCCTACGCCTTGGGCCTGTCCTCACAGCCCCTGGGCTTTTGTTTTAGATCAACTACTACGCAGACATGATCTACGTATCCGCTGGCGTGGCGGCCGATCACTCCCAATACGTAACAGTGGGTGCCGGAGTGGTCAACATAGTGATGACCGTCATCTCGGTGAGCCACCTGGAATATTCTTTCCACTGGGGGGGGTCCCAAGCAGGTGCCCTGCAGGCAGACAGGAGCCCCACAGAGTCTGGTTGTCTCTGGGACCTGCCCTGAGTGGTGGGGCAGGGGGATAGCGGCCCTGAGTGTGAGCGCCCCGTAGAGGAGGTCGGAGGTGTGGCCTCTGGGTGGGTTAGTTTCACATGAAGGGCATATTCACAGGCGATTGTTTGCTGTCTCTAGAAATTGGCTAACCATGGTAGGGACAGTCCCTCCAGGCGTCAGCAGGGCCCCAAGATGCCAAAGCATCAAATACAGAAACTAGAAAATGTAAGAAAGGCCACGTAGGGCGGTGCTGGAGGAGGGAGTGGTAGCACCAGGTCCCAGAACTCTGGGCGCCCCCTGGGCCATGGAGGCCCCTCACTCCTCCCTTCCCCTGCAGGCGGTCACCGTGGAGTGGCTGGGGAGACGGCTCCTCCTGCTGGTCGGCTATGGCATCTGCGGCTCGGCCTGCCTCACGCTGACGCTGGCGCTCCTCTTCCAGGTGGGACCCGGTCCCCTGCCCCCCACCCCTTCTCTGGGATAAGACAGGCTGGGAGCGGGGGCCCAGAGCCCCTGGGTGGGTGGGAGGTCCAGGGAACAGACTCAGCACCAACAGACCAGGGTGGTTCTCAGCTGTGTCCGGCTCCACGCCCCCTTCAATGCAAGTACTTTGTGATGCCCAGTCCTGCAGGGATGTTTGTGGGCGACTTCACTCCCCTGCACATGCACGAGCAAATAAATAGCTAAATAGCCCTGGCCAGTGTTGCTCAGTGGTCAGAGCATTGGCCTGCGCACCAAAGGGTCTCGGGTTCAATTTCTGGTCAAGAGCACGTACCTGGCCCGGCCGGGCGTGGCTCAGCCGTTGAGCGTCGACCTAGGACCCAGGCAATCGGGGTTCGATTCCCGGTCAGGGCACATGCCTGGTTGTGGGCTTGATCAATGACTCCTCCTTGATGTTTCTATCTCTCTCTCCTTCTCCTTTCCTCTCTCTGAAATCAATAAAAAGATATTTTTTAAAAAAAGAGCACTTACCCGGGTTGCAGGTTCAAGCCCCAGCCCTGGTCAGGGCATGTGTGGGAGGCAACCAATCGATGTGTCTCCCTCACATTGATGTTTCTCTCTCTCTTTCTCCCTCCCACTCTCTGAAAAAAATCAATGGAAAAAATATCCGCAGGTGAGGATTGAAATAAATAAATAAAAACAATCCCCCAGGTTACAAAGTGGAACAGTGCTCTCATCGTGAAATCCTACCGCACGTCACGATGTATGTCGGTCTCCAGTGTTAAAGTATCTCGGGGAGCTGGTCAGAGTGAAATGGGAACAGAAACGAACATGAGAAGCTATGAAATAAATGAGCATCGAGTCATTGGGTCGGAGTAAGCTCAAAACACAGGAGGCCGCCCAAACTGGAACGACATCATTTTAATTTGTGATTTTCTCAAGCACATATTTATTATGTGTCTTACCAAAAGTTTGAAAATACATAGGATGGCACTAACAGGAAGTATTCTGCAACCAGCCAACATGGTTTACGCCCTGGCTTACGTCTTTGCCTTGGTTGCTTTTACAGTAACTGCACCAGCAGACAGAGACCCTTTTCAATTAAAATGACATTGTTGGAAACGCAGTAGACACAAGGGCAAGAACGTCGTGCGAGGAGGTTATTCTGTAAATCAATGACCGCCTTCTTTCCCGAGCTGTCCTCTCCGTGATGACTTCCTCCTCAACAACAGGCCGAGCACAGAGACCCTCAGGGGGACGAAGGGCACACACGAGGGGGCCAGTGGAGGAACCGGCGGGCAGAGACCGGGGATGCGGCCGGCGAGGACAACGCTAGCTACATTCCAGTTTTGGTTTAATTAACGTTTTCTTTCTAAAGACCTTATATATATATAAGGTCTATATATATATCTTTATTGATTTCAGAGAGAGGAAAGGAGAGGGAGAGACAGAGACAGAAACATCAATGATGAGAGTCATTGATCGAGCCCACAACCCAGGCATGTGCCCTGACCGGGAATCGAACCCCGATCGCCTGGATCCTAGGTCGACGCTCAACCACTGAGCCACGCCCGGCTGGGCTAAAGACCTTATTTTTTAACTTTAAAACTTATCTAACTTTTTAGGAGAACATTTAGGAAATTTAGGCAAATGAAGAACAAATAAAACTAGACAGATCATTGTTAGTTACCTGCTGGAAACCTAAATGATGTCCCCAGCAATTATTTTTTCATCTTACCGTCTCTGTCCGAGCATCCGGCAGCCCTGTCGGCTCCGGCTGGAGATGTACCCAGCCCCCACCCATGAGGTGCCGTGTCCAGGGCGTCCCCTCCCGCCTCGGCCATGTCCCCTTCTGCTTCAAGTATGGAAACGGACCCCACCTGCTCAGAAGCCTCGCTGGTCTTCATCCCAAGTCACTCAGCATCTGGGAGGCTCCTCTCTCCCCCCTCCCCCTCGCCTGCAGCTTGGAGACAAGTTCATGGAAGGAGGTGTCCCCGGCGCACCTCCACGGTCGGCACCGCGCCAACCCCTCCTCCGCAGCGTTTTTCATTGTCGTGGTGACACAGTTACCTGCGTGGCCAGGCTGGTGGGAGTCTGTTCGCCGGTTTTGTGCCAGCCATTGTCTGTGCTGTGGGCAGCATAGATGATCCACAGGCTCTCCCGGTCCTGTGGCTTCTAGAAGGACTCTCTCAGCTAGCGTGGGGTCCGGGTCCCAGCGCCATCCCTGCTGATGGTCTGACTTGGGCTGTTGCTTGACCCCTGGGGGCCCAAGCGCCCTCCTGGTCTGTGTCCAGGCTCTCGGTGCTCTGAGCGCACCTTTGTAGGATTGAAACGATAGCATCCTCGCTCGCGGTGGTGTCGTGAAGATTAACGGGTTAACATTGGTGCTGGTCAGGGAATAATAGGGCTGGTGGAAGCCCCCTGCGACCTAGAGAGCGGCTGTCAGTCCCTGGCTTCCCCCCCCCCCTTGCCTGCAGAGCCCTGGAGGCACGCGGGCGCTCAGAAATCCAGGTGTGGCTCCTTCCCGTGGCGGGCAGGCAACCCGGGTGCAGGTGGCCTCATCTGTACGTGGGGCCCTTGGCCTCGAGCTCTCAGAGGTCCCAGGCCAGGCCCTGTCGGGCACCGACAGCCCTACCTCTCCCCACAGAGCACGGTCCCTGAGCTGTCCTATCTCAGTGTCGTCTGTGTCTTCTCCTACATCGCGGGACACTCCATTGGGCCCAGTGAGTACCCGCACACCCCGCCAGCCTCCCAGGGCCTCGTGCGTGGCACCCAGAGGAGCGCAGTAAATATTTGTTGAATGAGTGGACGTCCTTGGCTTGTGCCGCGCTGATGTCCTCTGTTCCTGTACCAACCCCACACACGCTTGGAGGCCACGCTCAATTTCCCTTGTCCTTGAAGGCCATTCCAGTTCACCTTCATTCATTCAACAAACGTTTACTAAGTGCCAGCCAGTGCCACAGCCAGGCCAGGCCCCATCAATCTCCTGCAGCTCCTGGAGGTGTCCAGCCTCAGGTCCGGCACCCCACACGGAGCTGAGCCTCTGCAGAGAGGGAGCTCATGCCAGCCAGTCCCCACTGGGGGCACCTGGGTTCATGTGCAAACCCTCTGCATACTCCCTGTAGCCTCCAAGCTCACAGCCCACCCGAGGCTCCATTGTCTTTGGTCCCCTGACCTCCAGTTACCTTCCCTTGTTACCTATCCCCATGTCCCTGTGCTAGTACCTGGGCCTTCACCTGGGCCTACCTGTCTGTCAGCCTCCAGGCTCCAGGCTCCCCTCCTCTGCATGTCCTTCTGAGAATCAGACCCCGTGCTCACAGCCTGGGGAAAGGCACCTCTGACTCTAAGACTAGGACATTCCCTGCGGAAACTCGATTTTGAAAGAGCTTTTCATAAACCAGAGTAAAGGTACCGACCCACTCAGCGCACTGATGGGGCACCTGCTGAGTCTGTGCCGGGCTGGCCCCGGGGACACAGCTGGGGGCAAGGCTGACACAGTCCTGCTGAAGGATATCTAAGTGGGATTTTCGGCATGTGCCCTGATTGTGGAGGCAGAGGCGCAGTGGGGAAAGGTCCCACGTGTGTGGGAGACCTGAGCTCCTGGCTGCTCTGCCCCTTGCTGCCTGGGCCGCCTGGAGCAAGCGCTGTGCTCCTCCGGGTCTCAGGCTCCTGTTTGAAGAATGCGGATAATCAGACGGGGGTCAGATCCTGCACCGATGTGACATGTGAGCCAGGTCCTAAGGGACTGGTTTGCTCCCGGTACCCTCGAGGGGAGGAGGGAGGCAGACCAGGGCGGCACCGACCGCCTCCCTCACCACTGAAGGAGGCCCCCC